TGTGCCTATACACCTGCTTTATACACACAGAGAATAGATGCAAATTGAAATCAAATTATGCCCATTTCTTCTCAAAGAATTAGTAGCCTTAAATAATTATACTTTATAGTATAAGCCACTGAAGAGAGGGATAGTGTCATTTTAACGTGTTCAATTTTTACAGCTGAGTGATTTTAATTCTAAGAGCCAGGGAGCCCTTACGTTTCCTAGAGGAATTTGAAGAACCCAGGATCCATTCCATGTGTATATACACACATCACTCTGACTTCTAAATAAAGATCGCCTCTTCCTCATCCTCCCACTATTGACTTTGAAAGAAGAGTTCCGCTTCAGTCTGTCCCTACAGGACCACCACGCAGGATTTATGCAGACTCCACAGTGGGAAGTCTTCTTTCAGCAAGGAAGAAAGGGGGGAGCAAGCAGGGGATAGCGCTGAGCAGAATCTCCTGAGGTGCTAATGCTCTTCCAATTCAATTCCCCGAAATCGCGCCCCTGCCAATGTGCTTTTCACCCAGCAGTGGGCTGCCATCAAAGAAATATGGGCTGCAACAGCAGGCAAAATCACCAGCATCTTAACTGTCATTCACGGCACACTAACAGCCTTTTCCTAACGTGAACCCTGTCCACTTTCTTATTCTTGTTCTTGTCTCCAGTTACCTCCCTGTGTGAACTCGGTGCTTTAATTGACTGCATCAATACCGCTAATTCCCAAGGTCATACCTGCCTGCGTGCCTTTGCTTTTATTTACTTTTTCTTCTGTCTAAATAAATTCTCCCTCCCTTCTCACTCGTCCCAGATCTCTGCTTGTCCAAATCCTTCAAAACCCATCTCAATACCTCCTCTCTGAGACATGTTGCAGTCCCCCAAAACTAAGGGCATCTGATACTTCTGAATCCCTATTATACTAAATACCTTTTATATTTGTTAGTATTTTCTACCGAGGATTTTTCTCATTTGTATGTTTATCTTATTCCCCCCTACTACTTTCCTCAGAGCATTATAAGATCCTTGAGAGTAGCAGGAAATATTTCTGATCCCTCTAGTTATCCTGTGACTCACAGGCCAGTAAACACTGCATGTTGCCCTCAATACATACATGTCCCATTCATGTTTGGAACAAAAATTTTTTTTTTTTTGATATTTTGTTCAGATAGAGTAGGGGGGAGAGAGAGAGAGAGAGAGAGAGAGAGAGAGAGAGAGAGAGAGAGACATCGACGTGAAAGGGACACATCGAGTGGCTGCCACCCTCACAACCCAACCAGGGCCGGGGACAAACTGCAACCGAGGCACATGCCCTTAGCGGGAACCGAACCCAGGTCTCTCTGGACCGCAGGCCGATGCTCTAACCACTGAGCAAAACCGGCCAGGGCGGAACAAAATTTTTTTAATCTGCCATCTAAATTGTAAGAACTTCAGTGCCAGAACCAGAAATATTATAGGTTTGTTGAAATATATCCTAACAAAACTTTTATAGACTTGATATTGGGATAAAAAAGTTAATTTTTTTTTATTTCTGAGAGAGCAGTTTCACATAATAGTTGGTATTTTTATATGAGCATGGAAGTTTATTTATTTGGCAAATTCCATCGAAGTATTATAAACTCTCTTTGAGGGAACAATAGAAAGCCTAAATAATCATGTAAGTATGAAGCATATGTTTTTATGTACATGAATTTTTTTTTAAATACACTCATCACTAATTTTGTCATGGGTGACGTTTTATCATCTCCCCAGTACAATGGAAATATTCCCAGTTGTCTGGTATTAGATCTTCCCATGAATAATAAATAAGTTCAATATTATATCTATCAATTTTTCTACCATAAAATTATTCCCCAAACAACACGACGATGCTGCAGTGACTGATTACTCCAAGCCATGCTTTCGAAACTGCCATATCGTTATTATCATTAAAACCACATTGGGACTTATCTGTACACGTGTCCTCACATCAGATCCGAACTGCTGATGTGGCTTTAATGTGGACTGGGGCAGGAAATAAATAGCCTTTATGTCTGTACACTTCCCAGCGATCCCACAGTTCCTCCACACGTTATGCTGAGGTTGTAGAAGTTTCTTTCCTTATCAGATTTTCCAAAGCCAACCAGTTAATCCCAATGTCAAAAACAATTCAGTTTTTAAAAGCACCATTTAAGCAGCATCCCGTATACTCACATTGAAATTGAGGTAAGTAAACACGTTTTTTGTGGATGAATAATTTTGCTATGAAATATACATGTGCGGTTAAAATAGTTACACCGAGATGGTCTATAATTAGCATGTATGTGTCTGTGAGATAAGATGGATAAATCTAGAGCCTTGGGGAATGGGTAATAAGAGTTCTCATTTACTTCTTCCCAATCCAATTAGTATGGTTTAGGATTCGTTCCTGTTCAAATCTTAAACTTCTTTTCAGACGCTGCCAGGGTCTCTGAGCTTTGTGTTGGAGGATAGAATATGAACTATGACAGATGTTTTCACCTTCGTGAAGCAGGGGACGTTGATGAAATGCTGTTTAATGCAGGCTATTCTGATGTTGATCCCATGTTCGACACTGCAGAAGTGATTCTAAGCTGCGATTAAAACACATAAATTGCCTACTGACTTGTTTGCTGAATAGAGGTGTATCCTTATCATAAGTGAAGTGATGCCTGGAGATCAGATCAGGGTGTGGATTTGTGGTTTTATTTATGACTTTTACCCAAATCTCAAAATTTTGAGGTCATCTTCCATGTTACAGTCACTAGGTGTTGTTTTCTTATTTATTTTTCACTTTTTAAAACTTGCTTTCCTAATATCTAAAATCCACCTTTTATTATATTCAACATTTCTTTCATTTACTATCATAAATATTTGTGATGAACACCCAAGATTTGCACCAATCCACATTAACAACCGGTTATTTTCTGCTCCTAAGATGAAATCCAGAAGCTACCTAAGTTTGAATAGATCAAATTGTCAATCACATAACCAGTAAATTCCTCTAACACTCTGCTCTTCATTTTTGTAATTGGAATTATACATAATAATTTCATAAGAAACTGGACTCCATAAACTGGCTGTTAACTATGGCCACATCATTTAACCTGTATAGACTCATCTGCTTTATGATTTTTAACTTGTAAGTCAGTGTAGATATAAAATGAGGTCCCACTTACAAAGTACTTATGATAGTGCTAGCACATAAAAAAGTGTTCCGTAGTAACAGCTCCAGATCATATTCTATTGATTAAAAGACACATCTGTTTCACCCTTTCTGATCTCTGTAATTATTGTATGTTACAGCAGACGCAATTTAAAACCACTACGGCCAAGCAGCACTTATAGCATTGTTGTCATTGATAGTACATGTGAATTTTGTTGTTATTGCTGAGGGCATGCAATCCTATGATATTTATGCCCAAAACAAGCAAACAAAAACAACTAAACTATTTGAGGAAACCCTTCCTCAGTTGCTTGCTTAAACTTTTCATTGACATCTTCCAGTGCCATTAAGAATACAACAGCACCCTGGCTGGTTTGGCTCAGTGGTTGGAGCATTGGCCCGTGGACCATACAGTCATGGGTTTGATTCTGGTCAAGGGCATGTACCTCAGTTATGGTTCTGTCCCCGGCCCTGATTGGGGTCATGCGGGAGGCAGACAGTTGATGTGTCTCTCTTGTATCGATGTCTCTCTCTCTCTCTCTCCCCCCCTCCCTCTCCCTCCCTCTCCCTCCCTCCCTCCCTCCCTCCGTCCCTCCCTCCCACTCTACCTGGAGATAAATGAAAAAGTGTCCTGGTGTGAGGATTTTAAAAAAAGAATGCAACATCATGACAACTTAGATATGGGTAGAAGTAATCTGAAAGGAAACCTGGAGACAACAGGAGAGCACTTTTTTAAGGAAATCTTGCATCATCAACAGTTTTGATGCCACAGAGATAATACCATGTAGGAGAACACAAACTTTGATGAATGTGTGTTAAATGGTGACTCCCAAGATTTCAATTGTGAATGTAAAGAAGACTTAGAAATACCTTATCTTTTAATGCATGAAAAAAAGTGACATATTTCTTAAAAGCAATGCAAATAAGTCATAGAAAGCTATTTCAGTAAGCGTACAATAAAAATTAGAGTTGATAAAAAAAAAAACACATTGTATTATAGTTTAATTTGCAGCCATTTCTCTTTCTTTGGGGCACATATAGTGATGGGCTCTTCTCACAGCTGGTACCATCTTACATTTGAAGAAATACAGCATTGCCATTACTACATGGCTTTTCCAGTAATGCTATAGAAGAGCAGTAAGCATTAATTTATTTTAAAACTTCAGTTTCGCCCTGGCCGGTTTGGCTCAGCGGTTAGAGTATCAGCCCGCGGTCCAGAGAGACCCGGGTTTGGTTCCCACTAAGGGCACGTACCTTGGTTGCAGTTTGTCCCCGGCCCTGGTTGGGTCGTGCGGGTGGCAACCACTCGATGTGTCCCTTTCACGTCAATGTTTCTGTCTCTCTCTCTCTCTTCCTCTCTCTCCCTCCGACTCTATATGAAAAAAAAAACAAAAAAACTTCAATTTCTAATCACCCTAAAACCTAACATATTAAAATAAGCAACATTTTAAAAACTGTAATTAAGACTTTAAATTTGGGGGGTAACATCTGAAAGCACACTGGGTTTTCTCCATGCACAGAGTCTAATTGGCCGTGTTGCCGCTGGTCAGCAGTCATCACACAGGCGTCATGTGTACCTCATTTTCAGCTTCTCAGGAGAACAGTGGCCTTTCTGTGTGAGGTGCTCCGTAGTCTCCCAAAACAGATTCCATGTACACCACACAGTTTACATTTCAGGCCAGACCACACCAAATGAGGTAAGATTATTATGTAATTTGCCTTCCTAGAAATGTGCTGGTCATCTGCTGTGTGCTAATAAATAACAGATACATTGTTATTGTTAATTTGAAGAAACAGGATGATCAGGTTTCTGTTGGCACCATATCTAATCTGCTAATGTTGTTCATTTTTACAGGTGGAACTCACTGTCCAAATACGAGTGCTTTGCAAGAGGTGCGCAGCTGTAACGAGCATCCTTGTACCGTGTATCACTGGCAGACTGGTCCATGGGGCCAGTGCATTGAAGACACCTCAGTATCAACCTTCAACACAACTACATCTTGGAGCAGGGAGGCCTCTTGCTCTGTCGGCATGCAGACAAGAAAAGTCATCTGTGTGCGGGTCAATGTGGGCCAAGTGGGACCCAAAAAGTAAGGGCTTTAGAATGTCAACAATAAATCCTGTGGTTAGCCATGCAGGGGATTGACTCAAGCCTCACTTGCTCCATGAAATAGAACATTATGATGCTTGTCATACCTGCTCTCAAGAGTAAGATTTGTTTGTTTTGAATGTTGGCCACTGATAAAGTTGTAACAGCTTCAGAGTCTTGTGCCTGGGATCCATAAATTCTGTAGAAATCTTTCTGTGTGATACCGACTTTCACTTTTATAGTAGCACTTTCTGCTTTTATTAAGTGTGTGAGGCAATGAAAGAAGGGCTTGCTCTAGGCCTGGCTGATCAATAATGACAGTATACAAAGTCCTAGCAGTGGAGGTCATCCATGACCTCCTCTATGCCCATAGGCTATGAAGGCTGCCAATCTAGTTTAATTGGGCAGTAGCCCTCTATGATCTGCCTCTCATTTCCCCTAAAAAATATTATATCAAAACTACTGAGGCTGAGTTTATTACCTCTTTAAATCATTAACTGAATAAGCGATTTACATCCAAGAGAGAGCCTTGGGATAGGATGAGTGTTACAATAAGTAGAAAAACCATCAGTTTCTCACTGTGGTTATGAATAGTGTGATCACAAGGCAAACAGTTTGCTAGAGGGAAGGACAAAGAACTAGAGAACTGGCATATTATATGTGCCTTGTGAGAAATATAAACAAAAATAAGTCATGATGTAACTGGGCTAATCATTCTTAGAGATAATTAATAAATCAATTCCTAAAATATAATCTTTCTTTGGATTTATTTTTTGAGATTTAGACAGCACAGATCTTTGAAAATTCTAATTATCTTAGCCATGTGAAACATTGGACATAAAACCAGTCAAGTTTGCTTTGGTATACAAATGGCCCCATAATTTCCAAATAGTTGACCAACTGCTTAAATGTTGTGTGTGATCATAAGCATGCTACTTAACTGACTCAGGCCTCAGTTTTCAGAGTTTATTGAAAGGATTTAATGGCAAAAAATTAGTAGTAATGTAAGCTTTCAGTAAATCTTAGAACTTATTTTCTTTAAGAATGTGAGGTATTTCTTAGTGTTTTAGGGAAATGATAATAATGTATCTGATGTATGAAGACCCCAAAGGATTTATAAGACTCCCATTATGAGTTGTTTTTACTTGGCCAGCGTTCCACACATTAGGGCTATTTTGCCCCATACTTTGTTTATATAGTTTGAAATTCGAAAACATATGGCAAAAGAGTTGACTCAATGGAGAAACTATTCCACGTGCTTCATAGGTAGCCCCAACCCAACATTTTAATAGAAATAATGCTTAAGTTGTGATGAATCTAACAAAGGAAATTAACTTGCAGTGTACTAAAATTAAGTAGCAGTAACAGCAAGAGCAGAAATCCCAATTCCTGGAGGATTCTTGGTCTTGCTGGGCCAAACACAGAGGTAGAAGTATCCATTGCAGAGGTTTCTAACCTGACCAGATAGAGGGTTATTATGCTGAGCTTCTACGAGTAAGCTCCCTCTGTTCCTGTGGCACAGCTAATCACCTTTCAAATGTTGCTATTGATGTTTTCCTCACTTCTGCAAACTACGCAGTATTTTTCTGAACCATGGATGCACATGCGTACAAGCATATGTGTGAAAAGCCTGCTGGATTAATGTCATTAAATCGTTCAGTAGGGAGGGGGTCCGGAAGCCCCATGTCGGACCACCACAATAATCCATTAAAAATGTGCTTTGCCCTTGCAGCCTTTATGCAGTGACCTGGATACATGGATAGATTTGTTAAGTCAAACGGATTTACTTTGCCCTTAAAGTTCTGAAAAAGTAAGCAAATACTGTAAACTCAAAAGAAAATGTTACTGCCCTTATACCTACATGCTAGGTTAAATCCCATGAATGCTTTGCACTACTAGGCATTTGAAACCGAAATGCAAACAGAAACCTTGTTTTAAACTTCTCTTAATAAAACAGATTACTGTGCAATGGTAAAATCAATGTCATCGATCTTATCTATCCTCCGAGTAACAAACTTCAACTCCTATCACATCTGTTTAATTTGACCTTGAATAAGATTTGGAGGGAAATCAATTCCTTGATTCAGGCCACAAAGACTAAATACAAACAGTACAAAGGAGTAAAGAAGCCTGTTGACTGAGCCAACTGCCTCGCCAAAGGAAGTCTGAATTTATTTTATTGGATGTAATCTAGGTTGTATAATTCATCTTTGTGTGTTCATTTAATGGCTTTGTTGTGAGTAATTTTGTTCTCCACAGTTAGCCAAGTCTCTTGCTGTGGATATTTCTAAACTAAAACAAAATTTTGGAGGCTGCCAATGATAACATTATAAATACCACTGATCTTCAGGGTTAAAATTTGAAGAGCATGCACTTAAATAATGCTTTCCCATGGTTTAAGTTATAAAATTGCCTTATTGAAAAAGTGTGCTTCAATCATAATTACTAATCAATAATTTCATAGTTCTGAAGAATGAACAGGATTATACATGGGGTTTTGCCATGTACTGATTCCTGCTTAAGAGTGAAGGTTAAATTATAATTCCAATGATTTATAGTCTCAATTGTAATAATACTTTTGTGATTCACAGCTAAATTTCTTTGTCATACACTGACTTTGAGTAGAAATAGTAATTAGGAAAACATGGGCTTATTCTTAACATAAACCAGGGAGATTTATTTCTTTTTGAAATGTTGAATCCAATCTGTTTTCTAAATTCACTTCTGAATAAACCCTGGTGTTATAAAGTGAGAGAGGAAACCATGTATCTGTATAATTGAATAGAACATGATATTTATGTATGAGATAGAACATGTAGATAAATGATTATGATATAACATATATAAAAAATGAAACATCAGCAAGGTGCTATAAAGAAATTATGGGAAAGAGATTAATGATGTATTTTTTCGCTCATAGTTCAGTTCTGAAAACCTGATTAACTTACTTGTTAAAACACAATTTATCTTGACCTACAAAAAATGTGGCTTCTCCATGGGGAATATTTTTAAATCCCATATTTCATTAATTTCCCAAGTTATTTCATCAACAGTTTTACTGGGTGTTTTGTTTATTTCTTCTGTGCCTCTTAACTTATTTGTTAATGATTTATATGACCTCAGAAGAGTATGTCCTAGGTATCATAACATTAAGTTACTTTTAGTTACATGAATTATGTTATTATATTTTGTGGCCCTAATATACATCTTTTCTAATGTTAATGCTCATGGCCAACATTTTGCTACTAGCAATAGAAGAAATGGATTGTTAAGATAAAGACAAGGATTGGGAAATTTAAAAATCATATAGTAAGTACACAAAAAAAAGACAGTTTATTTAAAACTTATCAGCTCCCTAAAATTATCTTTAAGGAAGTGAAAACCTTACATAATGTAAGACATTTTAGTGTTTTGCCATTATTTTTTTCTTGTGTTCCTAATAAATAATATATTTTCTCTCTATTTTTTAAAACAATCATTTAGTTAATTTTAGTAAAGAACACAGTGTTTTATTTTTCTTTAAATTATTGATGGACTATTTGTTTTATTTATATTTACACTTTTTGTTCCCAAAAATATTGAAAATATTTGAGGAGTTTTTTTTTTTTTTTAATTCTCACTCAAAGGCATTCTTTTATTGATTTTAGAGAAAGAGAGGAAGGGACAGAGAGACGGAGAGAAACATTGATTGGTTGCTTCTCACACAAACCCTGACGGGATTGAAGCCACAACCTGAGCATGCTCCCTGACTGGGAATTGAACTCGTGACCTTTCGATGTACAGGGCAATGCTCCAACCAATTGAGCCACACCGGCCAGGGTAAAAATATTTAAAATATTTAAAATTTCATAATTTGAAAGTAAGAATCTAATGGAAGAAAAAATATATTAAATGAAACTAAGAATAAAGCAAAAATTGCTATCATAATGACCTGTACACTGTACACATTTGTTTTTTGACTTGTTTATTATGAAGTATATAGTTATAAATGCAACTGTTTCTTTCTTTTTTTTTTTTTTATCCTCACCTGAGGACATTTTTCCATTTTTTGTTCAGATAGAGTAGGAGAGAGAGAGAGAGAGAGAGACATCAACGTGAAAGGGACACATCGAGTGGCTGCCTCCCACACGATCAACCAGGGCCGGGGACAAACTGCAACCGAGGTACATGCCCTTAGCGGGAACCGAACCTGGGTCTCTCCAGACTGCAGGTCAACACTCTAACCGCTGAGCCAAACCGGCCAGGGCATAACTTTGTTTCTTTAGCGTGTACTGGGTATAAAATACACTCCATTATAAATTTGTTATGCTATACATATTTTGTCAAAATAAAGTGCAGAATAACCTAAAAGTTTATAATCAGCAAGAAGGCTATTAATACAAAGATGTAAAATTGGTTCTTAAATTGGTAATTTAAATTTGTACAAATTTTTAAAAGCATGTTAGAAAATACAAGTCTATTAATGGAGAGATTATTATAAGGGAACATGGTATACGTATTACATTTTGTCCTAGAAAGCACAATTACTATTATTAAAATCACACATCCTGTTTTGAGAAGCTTTATTGAGATCCAGTTTGGAAGAATGTGGTTGTATAGTTCTTGCCAAAAGCAAAGCTCCTGGAAGTTAAATAGCACAGACTGGTGACTATGGAGCAATTTTAGCAATGAAAATTCTAACCATCTTAAACTACCTGGTTTTCAGAACTACTATAGAAGCCTCATACTTTCCCTTTGTTTTTTCTAGATGTCCTGAAAGCCTTCGGCCTGAAACAGTGAGGCCCTGTCTGCTTCCTTGTAGGAAGGACTGTATTGTGACCCCATATAGCGACTGGACGACATGCCCCTCCTCATGTAAAGAAGGTATGATCTGCAGGTTTCTGGAGGCTCTTCCCCTGGTAAACCACTTGCCAGCACCTCTGAGTTCTGGCTGAGCAATGTTTGTGATTCTTAGGTGGGACTGTGTAATCCTGCTTTGACATGAATGCCATCAAATTTTGGCTTTCTTCTAGAAAATAATATAGCTTTAGAGTACCCAACAAATTAGTTTTATGCCAAAACTGATTTAAAACTTTTTGATATATAAAGGGAAAGGATTTGAGATGTTATTATATTAACAATGTTTCCTTTAGCATTAATTGTAAGAGAATGTATCGTGGCCTTATGTATTTCAAAAAGAGTATACAGTGATCTTATCAGTACTACTGGTAGCTTCCAACCTACTTAAAAGCAAGAAATAGCCATGGCGCCAGGTAGATTCAGTAAAGATTCAATTATGCCACCCCAAGGGAATAAAGGAAAGAGAAAAATGGTGAAATTCTTTGTCTGCCAACTCTCAACGTGCCATGAGGCATTTACAACATGGGGGTTGTTCTCATTTTGTTTTCCTTTTATTACTCACAAAGACTCTTTAGTATCATGGCAGGTACTTTGATAATTCCTCACCCTCAAGGATATGGTTTTTTCATTGCTGCTGAGAAAGATAACATCCTGCAGGTGACTTATGCACTAATTGAGCAAATTTTCTCTTAATGTCACAAATGTCATTGTTGCCTATTTTCTATTTTACTTTCCCACTAGAGATAGTTTTTTAAAGTTCCTTATTTTATTTTTGATTCTTGACTCTTACTAGAGGCATTTAATTAAGAATAAACCTCTAGTTTAAAAACTATTTAAATCCTTAAGATATGATAGGAGATTATATATTTAATACTGGATTTTTTTTTACAGAATAATTGTAACTTTATATAGTTAAAATATGAGTTCCCTTTTATACCTTTTCTACTTTAAGTACTATTGAAATATAAAATAAAATAAAACTACATAGTGACCAAGAATAGAAAAATTTTAAGTCTTATAAGGCATCTAAAAAGTTTTCTGGCAAAAGGAATTGGCATTAACTTTTTTAAAAAACATGCTAACTGCATTAATATTACTAATAAAGCAATTTCATTTTTCTGACATTTTTTTTCTAGATGTTCTTGTCTTATCTCTTTTTCTTAAAACCTAAACATGATATCCTTTGGTTTGGTAATATTCAACAATAGAATTATACTTTCTAATAAGTTAATATTTCTATGGTAACTGTTGATTATTCATCAGCACAATGAGAAAGGTTATTTATTGCATGAAATTTGTATGCTTGGAAATTTTATTCTTGATATATATATATATATATATATATATATATATATATTTATTTTTTATCCTCACCCAAGGACACTTTTTTTTTTTCATTTATGTTCAGATAGAGCGGGAGGAAGAGAGGGAGGAAGAGAGAGAGAGAAACATCAATGTGAGAGAGACACATTGAGTGATTGCCACCCACACGACCCAAACCAGGGCTGGGGACAAACTGCAACCAAGGTACGTGCCTTTAGTGGGAACCTAACCTGGGCCTCTCTGGACCGCGGGTGGACGCTCTAACCGCTGAGCCAAACAGACCAGGGCTATTTTTTATTTTTTTTTTATTTTTTTTTTAATCCTCATCCGAGGACATTTTTCCATTTTTTGTACAGACAGAGTGGGAGGGAGAGAGAGGAAGAGAGAGAGAGGGAAACATCGACGTGAAGGGACACATCGAGTGGCTGCCACCCGCACGACCAACCAGGGCCGGGGACAAATTGCAACCGAGGTACATGCCCTTAGCGGGAACCGAACCCGGGCCTCTCCGGACCGCAGGCCGACACTCTAACCGCTGAGCCAAACCGGCCAGGGCGATTTTTGATATTTTTATACTTGATGTTTTGTGTTAGTATGAGATAAAATCATTTACTAATAATTCCAAAACATATGCAGTTACATTTATAACCATATGGTTAATAATCTAACACAAATTTTACATTTTTAAGTGAAGTTTCTGAAAATAAGGATAAAAGTTTGCTTTCCTTATATTGGGTATTTCCTTGTATTGAATAAAGTATATAAGATAAAAGTTGACTTGGTCTAAAGTATTTCAAGAAAATAAAATTAAGTAAAAACAAAAACAGAAAAGATTTCATAACATTATTTCTCAATAGTCAATCATAAAAATGAGGAGGCACATAGAATTTTTTTATTTCTTTAGACCTTCTTTGGAAATAATTTGAAATATTGGAATGTATTCAGTAATTAGGAACCAGTTTAGTAACCTATGAATTTTCTTCTCTAGGTTCTTGAAAATGCATCTGTGAACTTAATATGCATAATATATGTCTGGAAAGGAAAGATAATAATAGATATAACTTACTCATAAAAAAAAACTGTAATTGAAAATTAAATAACATGATTTTTTAATTTGATGTCTGCTAATGATTTTGATAGTACTAAAAAGTAATTTCCTCTTCTCTGTTTCACCATCTATAAAACTTTTTTAAATTTAAGTTATATAAGGTACTTAAAAATTTAGCAGATAGATGAGAGAACAAATATACTGTGAATACTATGCTATACTAATACTAATACAATGCTAATTAAATTAATACTTATCTGTACTATATGCATACATACTTACTGATTTTTTAATTTATCGATCCCCATATATTACTGGCACATTGATGGCCTTGTAGAAAAGACAGTCCCTAACTTCAAGGAAGCTTTTGATCTCATTTGAAATATAGAATTATTTGCCCTGGTCAATGTGGCCCAGTTGGTTGGAGTGTTGTCCCGTCCTATACACCAAAAGGTGGCGGGGTTTGATTCCAGATCAGGGTACCTACTGAAGTCTTGGGTTCTATCCCTGGTGCCAGGGAGTGGCGGGCAGGGGGTGACAATCAATCAGTGTTTCTCTCTCACATAGATGTTTCTCTCTCACATGAATGTTTCTCTCTTTCTCTCTACATCTCTCTCTAAAATCAATTAAAAATATATAGAATTCCACCTAAACCATATAATGTAAGATTTACATCACTCAGTAACAAGATTTAGCAGCAAAACAGAAAGAACTCTAGGGAAGGGAAGGAAAAAACCAAATGGGAACAAATATTAGGGAAAATGTTGTTGATCAGAAGATAGAAGAGACCTTCCTGTAAAACAGAGCATGTAGGAAAACCCAAGTAAGGATCATGGGCATCAGGAAATGTCATAGGTGACCACACGGAAGAGCTGTTGTTGGAGAGTGAGAACTCGTTCACGGGAGCTCGGCGATTTGCAGGAAAGCCGAGATGTGAGGTTGGAAAGGAGAATGAGGGCAGTTATGGAAGGTTGACTTAGACTTATAGAGAGAAGAATACAATTTTTAGTTTTGAACATAGAATGAGTAATGGATTTCAAGTATAATGGAAAAAGTGGGCTTTGAAATCAGCAAATCTGGTTTAGATACCCACCTTGGCCACTTAGCACCCAAGTGACCTTAGACAAGATACCTAAGCTCTCCAAGCCTTGGTTATAGCATCTATGAGTTACTTCATAATGCAAATGAAATAATATATAATAAATCATTCTGTTCTTTATGAACCACAGTCCAAATGACATATTTTTTATTGTCTAGTCTGTAGTGATAAGTTCCTATGGTAAAGGCATTAGAGACAGCATATGGTCAGTATCTAGTAAATGTTTTAATTTTAAATGCTAAATGTAATCTTTCTTAAAGTTTAATTATGCATTAGTTTGAAAAAAGTGTTTAGACAATAATGAAGAAAAACTTACTGATATAAATTTCTGATTATTATTTGAGAATCTTCTGGTAAATTTACTGACAAATTATTTTTAAATGATTTATATCACATACATTATTTCAAAGAATCCTAACTTTTTTATTCTATAAAATTTTTTTTTCAAGTGACTGTATTGTGCCAGGCACAAGTTTCAATGTAAAGGCTGTAGCAGCAACCAAAGAAACCAATGTTCCTGCTCTGGAGGTTCGAGACAGTCAAGGCATTTAATGATTATTCTAATCTGTCAGTGAGTATGAAGGGTCAAGGTGCAGGGGATTTGAGGAAAGAGAAGAAGATGTAAGTGCAAATGTGGGCAAGCTAGTGATGTGTAGTAAAATTTCCAGGTAACATGGAGTGCCCATTTAATCAAGTCTTCAAAAAGGGCTTTGTAAACACAGTTGCCAGTGTACCTCCAGCATGGTCATCTTCTGTTGCCCGAGTGCAGGAAAAGTATAGGGAAATAATTGTTTTTGATTAAGGGTGAGACTTTTCCAGAAAAGTTCAGGAAAGGGAGAGAGGAACAGAGAGTCAAAGATGTTTTCAAGGGAGCACTTCTAATAATAATGGAGTATGAAATATAAGTTGGGTTGGAATGGAACTGAGTTCGTGAAAGGAATGATAGACACTGAAAACATGATGTGGAAATTGGATTGGCCATTTCAATTGAGTTGGAAGAATTTTAGTAAGATGAGAACTAAAGTGAACTGAAAATTTAGGAGAAGTGACCAGAAAGTAAAAGGTTTAAAGATAAAAGTGTGCAAGTACTGATGATAATAATAACATCAGTTAATAATAAAGATGAACAGAAGAGCTAATAATTTTTTTTTTTTTAATCCTCACCCAAGGATATTTTTCCATTTTTTGTACAGATAGAGTGGGAGGGAGAGAGAGGAAGGGAGAGAGAGAGAGAAACATTGACGTGAAGGGACCCATCGAGTGGCTGCCACCCGCACGACCAACCAGGGCCGGGGACAAACTGCAACCGAAGTACGTGCCCTTAGCGGGAACCGAACCCGGGTCTCTCCGGACCGCAGGCCGACGCTCTAACCGCTGAGCCAAACTGGCCAGGGCAGAAGAGCTAATAATTGATGTGAGGTGCAGGGAAAGGTCATTGGAGGTGACACAGTAATTCAGAGTACAGTGCCTTGGACACAATAACCATGTAGATGCCAAAGCAACCAAAGAAGATACAAGGCTAGAGAAAGAGAATGGATCACAGTAAGGGACATT